AAAAAAAAAAAAAAAGAATAACAAAGAGGACGAGAAAGAAAAGCAAAGCCGAGAGGTGTTTTGCCGAGAAAGTCAAGGAGCAACTTTTGATTTTTATTGTTCGAGCAAGAAAGAGGTAATGAGTATTTCAATATTTTTCCTAGCTTCATCATGATATGTTAAGATGACTAAAGCATGAATATTAAAAAGAGCTCGAAAATAAGTCAGTTTTGAAAATTAAGTTCAAATAAGTTATATTTTCAAAAGTTGAGATATAAATATGATAAGGATGAAGTTGAGGCTCCAAAAATCCTAAAATATTGTGTTGAGCATGGAGTTAAAATTTTAGGATTTTTTGGAGAAATTTTCGGAAGTTCACACGAGTCGTGTGATGTAGTGACACGAGTTGTGTGAGCTTGAGAGTGCAGAATTGACCGAGCAATTTGAAAATGCATGCTAGTGTTTGCTAAAAGTAAAACACGTACGGGTGTGATGGTATATGAGTTCAATAGTAAAAAACTCAATTCAAACTCAAATTTAACTCAACTTCAACTCAACCTCACTATCATCAATATAATTAAATAATATCAATCAATCATTATTACACAACACATCAACTTTAATTCACTATTCATCCACTCACATAATTCTAACTAACTATCACTTCCTATCATTTTTTTCCTACTTTACATCAAATCAACTTTAATTATTTTATTTAAATATTATTTTAATATATCAACTAACAACTAACCATAAAACTTTTTTTTTTTTCAAAATTAACTATACTTAAAAATAAATCAAATAAAACTAATCCTATCCATAAACATTCACCCGTCATTAATAATTAATAAATAAAATAATAATCAAATATTAAAGAACATTAAAAAGTCCATTATGTAGAAGTAAATAATGGAGACTAATAGAGAAGTCCATTTTGGATAAGTCCATATCTTAAATGGACTTTTTGTGAAGTGCTCCCAAACAAGCACTATATATATAGGGGATTAGCCATTGAGTGAAGAAAGAATAATTTTTTTTTTTTATTTGTAAAACTTAATAAGATAAAAAAAAGAATCTGCTCAAAACATAGCCAATCTATGTTTATATCTATATATAAAGAGAATAAGCATTTGCCAAAAATAGTAGCAAAAATCTAGTAACATTTAATGAACAAATTATTTAGTAACTTTTTAAATATATTATTAATTGCTTACGTACACACGTTTCTAAATCAGGTCAATTCAAATATGATCAAAATGGTACTTTCCTTAAATTATTCCATTAACATCCGCAATAACTTAAGTTATCCATTATTATAAACTACAAAATTGATTTTCCGTGATTCATGTTGATACTATTTTGGTTAAGATAAACGTGAATATATATTTTAAGTTCTAACCATATTATTTTTATTTTTTTTCTCAAATGTTGACTTTTCATCCAAAAATATTTATAGAAATCGTAATAGATTAGGTATTTTTTTTGAAAAAAGTAATTAGGCGAAATCAAGTTGATAGAATTAATCTTTGTCAATATAATTTTCTCATAAACTTTATTTCATTATATAATTTAATTTTTTTTCTTCAAATTATTATAATT